CAATTCTTCTCTGTTTTGAAATAGAATTTCATGCCCAGCTTGTTTCACGACATGTTGAGCTGCTGCCGATTTTTCACAAATAAGGCACAATTTTTACTGCCTTTCACAACAATACAAAACCTTACGAACACGGCCAAACAACCCAAAAAACCTACAACAACCATCAGATTGTGGCCATGAAAGCCTTCGGGAACACATAACTTCATTGACTTTACTGAGTCATCTTGAATGAGACAAATGTCATAGTTTTGTGACATGGGCATTCTTCTTTATTTCCTTGTTCCCATGGTTCCAAGAATGATGCAAGAGTCAGGTTCCAGTTGTTCAACGCCAACCATTTGTTGCTAAGGTGCCAACGCAGCTGCTCCTGTAGTTTTATCTTGAGGCACCCTCCGTTGCTCCCCACTGCCATTTAGCTTGCTCAGCAAGCAACTTCCATGGCATTTCCTTTCCTGTATTCATGGTGGCATGATTCGAGTCTGGACTGTGTAGATGATGTCCCGGAAGAAGATGTGCAGCTTGACAACAATGTGGAGGAGGAGGATGTCTGCTGGTTTTTAGTACAAATCTTACTTGGTTATATTTTCCTTGTTGGCCTTTTAAGGATCCTCTATCTCTTTAGGAATATGGTAAGATTCATGCACTTAGAGAGTTGGACAAAAGACTCTTTGAGGAAAAAATGGTAACTATAGGAAAGTTGGCAAAGTTTGAGGAAATGTTATTACAAAAGGAAAATCTAGCAGAAAATAAAGCATTGAAAGGTAGAGTAAGTAAAATTTGTAAAATATTAGTTGAAGCAGAGGATCAACAGAATCCTCTGAGAGTTTTATGGGAACATGATATGAGGGCAGTGATAGTTACTCTGCCTGAGAGAGGGAAGAAGATTTGGTATCTAAGAAGAGTGAAATCCATGTCTGTAAGAATTAAGGAGAATTTTTATAAGATATGTTGTCCTGGAGGGGATACCAGAAAACTGGCAGATATTTTCATAGGTGGTGGGAATGCAAGAGGGTGATGAAATTTTGGCGCAGATATTTTCATAGGTGATGGGAATGCAAGAGGGTGATGAAATTTTGGCAAATGGTATTTGGGGAAATAAGAGAAATAACCAAATGAAACATAGCCATATGTCCTAAAATAGTACTTCTATCAATATTTGATCAGGTGGAATAGAATTGGGCCACTATAGAATTAATTTCTAATTTAGTCACAGCTGCTAGATTAATTGTAGCCAATTATTGGAAAATAAAACCTAATTTTCAATTAAGTGTATGATATACAGAGGAATGGAATATAAATTAACATGTAATCTTAAAGTAAAGAAAGGAGTGCTTAAAAGGGCATAGTTTTGCAGAAATTTGTGGATATTTGATTGATTATGCTTTAATAAAGGGAAAGGGAAGAGCACTATTGCAAGAAACGCTACAGTTTTGGAACTAACATTTTGGAAAAGGAAATCCTTAAAATGAAGGAAAAGGTTTAGTTCTCCATTGGTCCTGTTGGGGGAGAGCATTTATTACAATTTTGTTTATGTATAATTATTGGGTTTTTTTATTCTGTTTGTTGTTCTTTTGTTTCTTTACAAAAGGTTTTCATTTAATAAAATAAAGATTCCCACCCCCAAAAAATAAATATGGTAAGATCCTCTTGTAAGCCATATTCTTCGCATTTTTAATGGGAGAGCAAGATAAGAATCTCTCTGATCCAGAATCTTGCTTCCCAGAAATCCCACAGAACCATGGGGTTGCAGACTGGCCTGGTTGCCCATGAGCTCTCATGGGTATGTCTGAACGTTTTACCTAGCTGTCACGGACCCATCAGTAGACCTCTCCTCCCTTCATAGATTGATCAGACCCCACTGCGAAGCCACTGAGGGCTGCATAGTTTTGTCAGACCCCGCTTGGAGGCGCCCTGGACCATCGCCCTCAAAAGCAGACCTACAGGCAAATCGCAGAAGCCTATACGTTTATACCGTGTTTGCCCGCAAATAAGACACGGTCTTATATTAATTTTTGCTTCAAAAAAACACAACACATTAGGGCTTATTTTTGGGAGATGTTTTCATTTTTCCATGTACAACAGTCTACATTTATTCAAAGACAGTCCTGTCATCTTCTTCTGGTGGCTGCACAAGGGTGGAGGGCAGGGGATTCTCTTAACTAGGGCTTACTTTTGGGGGTAGGGCTTATATTACGAGCATCCTGAAAAATCAGACTAGGGCTTATTTTCAGGTTAGGTCTTATTTTCGAGGAAAAAAGGTAGATTGACCACTCTTTTCTAGGTTCGTCATAGCCGATATATTCCCCTAAAATCAGACAAGTATAGACAAGCATTTCAAAACTCATGTGGGGCTCTTAAATACAGGTATCTGTTTCAATAAGTCCAGTCATTCAAAACTCGTGTGGGGTTCTTAAATACAGGTATCTGTTGCAAGTCCAGTCACTTGCTAATACTACAAGGTTTTTTATTTGTTTTGGTACAGTTTTTAATCTACAAGTTTTAAATATATGTGTTCAATTCTTTTAAAATATGGTAGTAATTATGATAATAATTATTTTTTTCTTCCACACTGGTTATTTCTTAACACTCTAAGCTGTCTGTGTGGGGTTCTTAAATACAGGTATCTGTTGCAAGTCCAGTCACTTGCTAATACTACAAGGTTTTTTATTTGTTTTGGTACAGTTTTTAATCTACAAGTTTTAAATATATGTGTTCAATTCTTTTAAAATATGGTAGTAATTATGATAATAATTATTTTTTTCTTCCACACTGGTTATTTCTTAACACTCTAAGCTGTCTGGAGTCCTTTTAAAGCTACAGTATCTGTCTATCTATCTGTCATCTACTGTATATCCGTCAGATTGGTAATTTTGTTTTCCCTAAACATAACGGTTCAAATAATTGTTTTCCATTGTTTTCTCGGCACAGATAAGGAAAAACCATGGACATCTATCTTGGAATAGGCTGAAATGTTCCAAAGGTAAACCTTCATTCTGCTCCTATTTCAAATCAGTATTATTAAACAAATGGCACAGACCAAATGTTATTGAACCAAAGAGACAGAGATCTGGTAGCAAGTTGCCCCCTGAGCTGATAACAATTACTTTGATTAAATGACTAAATGGGTCACTAAATTGTACATTGACCCGGGTTCCAGACTTGGCTGGGGAGCCGGCTAGTTCTCGGTGACTTTTAAAGCAACTGCTGTTCAAACCTCCTCTATAAAGACGGTAGATACACTGTTGACTGATACTTTAACACAGGGGTTTTAAACTCAATTTACCTGGGGGCCGCTAGAGGCAGAGTCTGGGTGAGTCTGGGCCGCATTAGATTTTCCACCAAGCGGAGCAAGAGCCC